CGGAGGCAGCCAGCGGGGCGGCGACTCGCGCACAGCCAGGACGAGTCAGGAGTCCAGCCCCAGGGCCTGGCTCCTGGTCTCCTGCTTGCGCCGAGGCCAGGTCGGGCCAGCGTCAGGCTGACGGCGTTTCAGGGCTCTCCCGTCAGGGCCCCTCTGAGCCGTGCCAGCCCAGGGCAACAGGGAACCTCGAGGCACAGGCCGGAATCCCAGGCAAGCCCCGGGGTGGAACAGATCATGCGCTACGTGGCTGCTTTCCCCTGGGGCGGAGCCAGGATGGGGCCTGCAAGCCCTGGTGTGACACGAGGGCTCGTCCACGGGCTGGCCGTGGTGCACGGAGCACCGTGTCCAAGCACGCCCGAACCCCGACCCTCTCCCGGACCTGGCAGCCCCCAGAGCCACTCGCCAGAGACCAGGTGGATCCCAAGCACAGCTGGGAGCAACCTAACCCCCTCTGGGAGAACGGGCCTGGAGCTTTGGATCGATGCCTCCGAGAGAGCAACTGGCAAGCACCAGAAACAGTCTTCGCTCGGGCTCACTCAGGGAACGCCCGATGGCTCTGTGTTACTGCCCTGTCCGGAGGCCTTGGCCCGTTGTGCTAGGTGTTGCACACACAGCAAGAGAACAGCCTTCCAGTCAGGCCACTGGCCTGAGCTCAGTCTACACAGGTGAGAGAAAGGGCCGTCTTATCACCCCCATTTTACAGGTGGGGAAACTGAGGCATGAAGTAACTAGAAGAGGTAGGAGTTGAACCAGCCCGTGCCTCAGCCACAAGACCAACCTGCCCGTTGAGAGGGACGAGGCGCCTTGAGTCATTAGGTCCCTGGCCCCCACCCAGTCGGTCGCTAGGGGCGACCGCCTTCCGGCTGTGTGGTGACCTCTCTGAAATGAGTTTGAGGGTCTCAGCGCTCAGGCGGCTGTTGCCACCCCAGGAAAACACCCAGCCTGACAGATGAAAATCAGCCTCCGGGTGGGCACGTCCTGCAGAAGAGCCAAGGACCGAAGACACCGTGAAGTCTGAGATGCTCCCCCGCTTCTGGGGACGCTAGGGGGTGGGGGAAGGGAGCGGTGTTACGCACAAGCTAAGTGCGAGGGGCCTCTACATGCAAAAAAATCCCCCGGTTGTCGTTGCACCCTGGCCTGCGTACCGCACCGCTCTGTGTGCAAACGTCACCATTTCTATTTGCATTTCTATTTGGGCTGCAATTCTGCTCTGGGGTTCAAACTCCACCCAGGCCCTACTGCAAGTGGCCCTGAGCCCCCCGACTGTGAGCCTGGCCCCTGGAAAGGTTAAACAAGGGAGAGGGGGGGTCACTCCGGCTGTTGCTGTCTCGGCGTTGAGCAGCAGCGCTTCCTTTCCTCGCCCGGGAAGGTCAACTCTGGGGGGAGATGGGGCAGACGAGCACCCTCCCCAGCACGTCCCCGGGGAGCGCGCTTCCTCCCGGCTCCCAGAGCGGGGGTGTCTCTAAGCTACAGCCGCTGAGATCCCTGGCGGCGGGGGGGGGGGCTCCAGCGCGC